GGAGGAAGGCAGTATATAGATATAGTGTCAATCTAACTCACAGGTGCAGGAGTTCATTATATTAAACCAAGCAAGACTTACCACATTATCAATTGTGATTAGTTCAAACACTGCACATATGAGTTCCAATAAAATTTGTGAACACTTGTATTAGTGATACATGATTGTCAGCGTGAGTTACAAAAACAGATTATGTCTCTTGATATTATTATATAATTCACCAGTCGTCCCATTTCCCTTTGGATTTTGGGGTTTCATTTTCTGAAGATCGATTCCAAATATTCAGTTGTCTCAAACTACCACAAGGTGTCACTGTTGAAAATAGGTGGCCACCACTTTGCCTGACGTCACTCCTTGTGTGGTGAGGCAGAGATCTGAGCCCCAGGGGGAAGCTGCACCTTTGAAGAGGTAGAAAGGAGTAAGGGAGCTTACTACATTCATACTCACTGATCTTTAAATCTTGCCTTCGAGTTAGAGAAACTAGCTCAGAGGAGTTTCAAGCCTCACCCATATCTTGTTCCTAGGATTTGGTTTTGACTATACCACTGGGTCCATATGGTCAGTCTCACTCTGGGAAGTTCTAAGGTCATTTCTTGACAGCCAGTCTAAAAATGGCAACTTTTGGTTTATTAGATATATATTCCAGTAGCAGTGAAATTTAAAAAGGAAGGAGGTAAGATAAGTCTTTTGTGTTAGCTCTTAAAAATAAAAATTTAAGTTTCAACATTCCTTATTACTTATCTCCCATCTATATAATTAAAAGACAATGATTAATCTCTATAATTAAGACAATGGTTCTTTACAGAACCAAGAAGTTTTATCTAAACTTACTTACTATCCAGGAGATAAGAACTGCTGGCAATTTCTGAATGATCATATAATCTGTTAAAATAAATAGCTTTAAAAAAATAAGTGTTAAAAAGTAAGTTTTACTTTGATAACAATTGTGGCAATATTTATAAAGCTTTCTTTAAAAATATTTTCACATGCATTTTCTTATCATAGCATAAATATAAACATTCACTGACTGTGAAATGGGATTCCTTTTTGTTTATTATCTTCTTCAAGAAGTGTCGCTAAGAGGGACTGACCCAGGAACAGCTACATATATATGTTTTTAAAGATTTATTTTATTTATTTGTGCATGCAAATGCTGGGTGTAGGCCAGCGGTCCAAGAGGAGGGAAGGTGAGAGGATTCCCCAGAGACATTAGCCCTCCATCTAACCCAAGAAGGACACCAACTCTTCTAGACACCTTGGTTTGCCTCATCCACATGTGCTGCTTCCTGAAGCAAAACATCCGTGAAAATGAACTTTCATAATATAGAGCACAGACAAAGCATAGATACTTGAGTATGTAATTTCCTTAGATAGATAACAGTTATACTTTTTTCCTCCCAATTTAAGAGAGTAGATAAGAGGTGTTCTCTTAGGTACTTCTGTAGTATGCAGTTGATCCTAGATGTGCCAGGGTTAAGGGCACTGGGCAGATCGTAGTTGAAAGTCTGAGTATAAACTCTGACTCTCTCCCAAACTAACTGCTGTTAGTTTCCCGTTGACCAGAAACCCTACCTATAGCAAACTGTTGACTGATACATATTTTGTATAGGCATTATACACCATATTCCTACAGTAAAATAAACTAGAGAAAAACATTCATAGTACTATCCCATATTTATTGGAACCATAAATTTGTATCATCTATTTACAAGAAAATCTGCATGTAAGTGGACTCATTCAATCAAATCCACTTTTGTTCAAGATTAAAAAAAAAACCTATATATTTTTGTATATTTAAAAGAGAGAGAGACAAATAATGAGTGGTAAAATTTTCTCTCAGTGACTAGAATGTGAGACAATAAATACACGACAATCTCAGATTTCCCCTCAAGGGATGGAAAGCACATGTCCATTTTTCTACCTGAACCCCTGATCCCATCCATGCGACTGGGATCAGTTTCCTTAGGGTCACCAAGAACTCAGCGGTTCATATTCTCTTTTATAGATGTCATACAATAGCCAACTTAGAGCCTACAGAGCTATAGGTGATGAAAACGTTGGTAAGCAGAGACTCCTGAGAGGATGGAGAAGTGGTGTACACTCATTAAGCTGTTCAGCGTTAGAATGGCCAAGGTGTTTTTCTTTTTCTTTCTTCTTCTTCTTCTTTTTTTTTAATGTGAGACCCTATTCTCTTGAGAGTAATTGGTAAGTTATAGAGCAGCACAATGCTCATAGCTCAGGTCATGCAGTTCGATATAAATGTTCACAATAGCTAGGGAAGAAACAAAGAAATTAAGTTCCTTCAGTAAAGAATGGCATCTACCATGCAACAGGTATGTGAGAAGAGATTAAGAAAGACATATCTGTGTTTTCTCTTCCTTTAGCTTTTTAATTTTTTAAAAAGATTTATTTATTTATGCATACAAAACTGGGGTACAGGCCAGAGGTGCAGGGGCAGTGAGAGGCTTCACCAGGGACAGAGTGGGGAGCAGAACAGGCAGATCAATGAAGTACACTGCTGAGGGGAGTAGGGGGCAGTCAGGAGAGGTCTGCACACCCTCACCCCTCCTCCACCACAGCAGGGATTGAATTCCTGAAGAAGTGGCTTTAGCTTCAACCAGCTGCTGAGACACCAAGGAGGGCCCCTCCTTTAGCTTTTTGTAAGAAGCAGTTGGTCTCCCTAGTAATGCAGTAAATGTGAGACCTTGAGTCTTTTTTTTTTTTTTTTCTTGGTGATGTGCAGAGAGAATGTGGAAGAATGTGGAAGAATGGAGCTGCAGAATTTAAAACAAACTTGTAATAAAAGGCAGAGTCTCTTAAACATGCGAACAGGATCACATGGTACATTTTGGCAGTACAATGTTTTGTGGGAGGAAGATTTAGAATCCTATAAAGGGTTTTTTCTTCATAAGTGTTCACCTGAGTGAAAGAAGATTAAGGTGGCTTCCTGGGCTTTCACATACAACTCCATTCCATTACTTTTTTAGTTAAAAGCAAAAGATTTATACCATCTGAAGAGAAACCAGAGTATCCATTGCTTTCTTAGGAGAAATTTTTTTTTTTAAAGATTTATTTATTTATTTGTGCATACAGAACTGGGGTACAGGCCAGAGGCTCAGGGGCGGTGAGAGGCTTCACCAGAGACAGAGTGGGGAGCAGAAGAGGCAGATCTACGAAGTACACTGTTGAGGGAAGCAGTACACTGTTGAGGGAAGCAGCGGGCGGGTCAGGAGAGGTCTGGCTCGCCATGTGGTCTCCTCCCGGGCAGGAGGCAGGCGGGAATCGAACTCATGCGGAAGTGGCTTCAGATTCTCAGTGCTGTGCTTTAACCCGCTGCGCCACCAGGGAGAGCCAGGAGAAATTTTTTTTTTCTGGTGAAATGTATCCTTAAATGTGGCGTTCATCTCCAACAGGAAAGAGTGAAGGGAGAAGGATGGAAAGGAAAGAGAGGAAGGTAGTCACCTTTTTCTCATTATAGATGCTGTGCTAATATGTTCAATATGTTAAATTCATTAATATTGTATTTTCTTAGAAATTGGAAAGCTGAAGGAAATCAATAGTTTAATAAAGGCAAAATTAGGAAAGTAGAAGACATGATTAGCAGTAGAAGCACTTTGCAAAGTACCTTAAAAATTTTAATAAGTGGTTGCTGAAGTAGAGGAATATTTAATACAGTAGCCTTGGCAAAACTTAAAGGCAAGGCAAGAAGTAGTGAGAGCGCACAAGACAGTCTAGAAAACTACTCATCACAATGTTCATGATTTTATTCACATTTTCTGAGAAACAGAAATTCCTATTTAGTTCAATTATAATTCATATATTTGTCTGTGTTTATATGAATGGGTTTTAAAAATAGAAAAAAACTGACACTTGAAGAATAAAGACACAATTTTTATTTATTTAACTTTCACAAACTGAAAGATTTGAAGAATATGACCACTGAAAATTCAAATCATTGGTGGATATCACATGCAAGAAACATGCCAAATACATGCAGAGAAACATGATGCTTAAGTAGAATTTACATTAAAGTACTGTCTGATGAACTCATCAAATACATAATGCAGTCATGGAATTGCCCACAGTACAGAAATATGTGTGTGTTTGTGATGGCTTCATGAAAATAATTATTTCTCTTAGCTTTATAGTCTAGCAAATAAAATGATTTAAAACAAACCACAAAATGTTATTTGACTTTGCTAAACCTTTAAATAAGCAAACTGAAGGTAATTAGAATCTTCCTTTCTATTCTATTTCTTTTCTTTCTTTTTTCATGCCTATGATATTTCTCTTGCTATATCTGCTGACAGTCTGGTATTTTCTTATAGGTTATCCTTTTTTCCCTTGTTTTTAGTATTCTGTCCCTGTAGTTAGTTTTTTTTTAAAGACTTATTTATTTATGCATACAGAACTGGGGTACAGACCAGAGGTAACAGGGGTGGTGAGTGAATCCACCAGAGACAAAGTGGGGAGCAGAACAGGCAGAGCTACAAGTACACTGCTGAGGGAAGCAGTGGGCGGGTGTGGAGAGTTCTGCAGCGCCAGGTGGGTCACTTACGGGCAGGGGATTGAACTCACCTTGAAGCGACTAAAACTGCATCCTAACCCTTTGCGCTACCAGGAAGGGCCTCTAGTTTATTTCTTAACACTGCAGTTTCTCCCAGTATTTTCTTCTTCCAGGTGATGCTTACCTGGGCAGCAGGTGGCTAACAAGAATATAACTACCTGAAAAACTTGCTAACAGACAGGGAGAATCTGAAATCACCTCTGTTTTTTTTTTTTCTCCTTACCCTTTCCTGTGAAAATATTAGGGGGAACGGAAGAGAAATACTATATATACATTAGAAGCCCCTCTGAGATCATAAATATTTCAGTGCAAATATTTTTCTCAAGGATTCTGTCTTTGAGTTTCTATCTGAAGATTTATATGAAACAATAATTTATCTATTATCTCACAAAACCGCCGTGTTCTTGTTTTTTTTCTGAAGGAAGTGTTAAATTGCTCTGAACATGGAAAAAGATCTTGCCCAGAAAATGAAAAGTCACTTGGTGTACGAGCCGCCATGTATTCATTTATGGCAGGAGCCATTTTCATCACCGTGTTTGGCAATCTCGCCATGATCATTTCCATTTCTTACTTCAAGCAGCTTCATACACCGACCAACTTTCTCATCCTCTCCATGGCAGTCACTGATTTCCTTCTGGGATTCACCATCATGCCTTATAGTATGATCCGATCAGTGGAGAACTGCTGGTATTTTGGGCTTACATTTTGCAGGATTCATTATAGTTTTGATCTGATGCTCAGCATAACATCCATCTTCCATCTTTGCTCGGTGGCCATTGACAGATTTTATGCGATCTGTTACCCGTTACGTTATTCCACTAACATGACCATTCCAGCCATTAAACGGATGCTCCTCTTCTGCTGGTCAGTCCCTGGAGCTTTTGCATTTGGGGTGGTCTTCTCAGAGGCCTATGCAGATGGAATAGAAGGCTACAGTATCTTAGTGGCTTGTTCTAGTTCCTGCCCCGTGATGTTCAACAAGCTCTGGGGGACCACCTTGTTTATGGCAGGTTTCTTCACTCCTGGGTCTGTGATGGTGGGGATTTATGGCAAGATTTTTGCAGTATCCAGAAAACATGCCCGTGCAATCAATAATTTGCCAGAAAATCAAAATAACCAAATGAGGAAAGACAAAAAAGCAGCCAAAACCTTAGGAATTGTGATGGGGGTTTTCTTATTATGTTGGTTTCCCTGTTTCTTCACAATTTTATTAGATCCCTTTTTGAATTTTTCTACTCCTGTAGTTTTGTTTGATGCTTTGACATGGCTTGGCTATTTTAATTCCACATGTAATCCTTTAATATATGGTTTCTTCTATCCCTGGTTTCGCAAAGCGCTAAAGTACATTTTGCTAGGGAAAATTTTCAGCTCACATTTCCACAATACTAATTTGTTTACTCAAAAAGAAACTGAATAGACTTATCCTGTATGGGTGAACTAAAGCAAAAGGATTGGCATTTAGAAGAATTAAGCCAAGTTGAGTGTGTGTGTGTGTGTGTGTGTGTGTGTGTGTGTGTGAGAGAGAGAGAGAGAGAGAGAGAGAGAGATTTCAGTTTCCATGGAAACCATCCACTTTAGAGGAAAAAAGGCATTTCTCCTGGAACTACCTGGAATCAAACACCCTTCAATTTAGAATATTTCATACACTGACTACTTCCAGGCATGGGAGAAAAAGAAGAAGGTAAAGAGAAGAGGAAACTATAGAATGAGGAACACACAAAAACTTGTATACCGTTTAGAAGGATCAAAACACAAATTCAGCTTGAGAATTGTTCTCCGCTCTCACCACCACACGCATTTTCCATTTGTCTTTTTCAGCACCTAATCAAGTGTATTTTGCAACATCAACAGTGAAAAATTAAAGTAATGCAGAAATAATTTCCAAAGGCATATTGTATCTGGAATCATCATTTATTAGCTGAGTGAAGACTTCACTAGATTTTACTCTTGTGAGATTAAGTATGTTTTAAATGAAAGAAAAATGAAAACTGTGTAACTGAGGTCATAGACTTCATCCATATTTTCATTCGTGTGTTATTTTAGTTCATAGTAGTTGGCAATTTCTACCTTATTAGTAGGAGAATTCTATTTAGTACCTGTCTTTCTTCCTCAGGTTCATCCACATTTTGTACTGTGAAATGGTCTTCTCACTTTTTTTTTTTAATGTCTAATGGATTTAAAAAAATAATAAAATAGTTCATTTTTACATCATTTTGTGCATTTTTCCATCTCAGTTGTAATTCCCTTGGGCTTCCATCACCAAATCACCCATGTGCCATCACCAAGGTCCAGTGCATTTCCCTCCCCCCACTGTTTTTGATCCCATTCCCATTTCCCACTCCACCCCCATAAATTATCTCTGGTATATAAGTGTTCATTATTATTATTATTATTATTTTCTCGCCTGGTTTGTTATACTCCTACTATGAGTGAAACCATTCTGTATTTTTCCTTTTCTTTTTGGCTTATTTCACTAAGCATGATCTTTTCCAGCTCCATCCATGTTGCTGCAAAAGACATGTATTTCTTTTTTTTGGTTGTTGAGTAATATTCCATCGTGTATATGTACCACATCTTTTTAATCCAGTCATCCACTTTTGGGCATTTGGGCTGTTTCCATGTCTTTCCGATTGTAAATAATGCAGCAATAAACATGGGGGGGTGCAAGTATCTTTTAGAATTAGTGGTTTTGTGTCTTTTGGGCAGATACCTAGGAGTGGGATTGCTGGGTCATAGGGAAGCCCCATGTTTAGCAGTTTGAGGAACCTCCAAACAGTTTTCCATAGTGGTTGTACTAGTTTGCATTCCCACTTGCAGTGCAGGAGAGTTCCTTTTTCTCCACATCCTCTCCCAACATTTGTTGTTGCTAGTTGTTTTAAGATGTGCCATTTTCACTGGGGTGAGGTGGTATCTCATTATGGTTTTAATTTGCATCTCCCTTATTACAAGTGATGTTGAACATTTTTTCATATGCTTATTGGCCATCTGCATTTCCTCCTTGGAGAAATGTCTTTTTAGCTTTTCTGCCCATTTTTTGATGGGGTTGTTTATTTTTGTTGTATTTCATCAGTTCTTTGTATATCTTTCTGATCAATCCTTTATCACTAGTTTTTGTTCCCAATCAGTGGGATGTCTGTTTGTCTTTTGTAATGTCTCTTTCGCTGTACAGAAGCTCTTTAACTTGCATCTATTTATCCTTGTCTTCGCTATCATTGCATTGGGTACTCTAAAGATGTCACTGAAGTGTATGTTGGGTAGTATTTGGCCCATCTTTGCTTCCAGGTATTTTATGGTTTCTGTTCTTATGTCTAGGTCTTTAGTCTTTGCACTTTTAATAAATGTTAAGTACATCCCAGAAGTTGTGTCTTGAATCCATCATTGTTTTTGCTGAATGACTATGCAGTATATTTAAATAATAAATGAGTGGAAAGAGGAAGCAATGAAGAAAACTACTATTTATAGGGGTCCCTCTGGGGAGTGGAAACTTTATATTTGTTATTTGGTGCATTTTTAACTGTAAGTTGAGACCTACTAATAACTAGTGAAATCAGCTGTAACCAGCGATAGAAATTGAACAGCTGGCTCTGGGGAAAAGAAAAAAAAAAAGCCTGGATATGTAGAATTCAACAATTTCTGTGGTGTTACATGTACACACAGTTAAGTCTTTATTAGCTGTTTTCAAGCTACAAACATAAGGTTAACTGACTCAAAATTCTGTAACAAATCTACGTTTGCAAGTGGGCATGAATGGCTTCAGTATAGCATGGACTACAAATGTTTCTCATGAAATGCTAACTGGAGCAGAAGAAAACAGATCATTTCAGAACACAGAGCCTGCATGGAGGGTAAATATGCTTATGAAGTTTTAATTTTAGTCATATTTATTCGTGTACTTGTGAGTGTTTTACATACATAACTTTCACTGACATATTTTTAATTCTTCCATATACAGTCTATTAATGAACACAATAACTTTTTTTCTCTTTATGGAAAAGTTGTCACTACTGTTCTCAGATTTGCTTTGATTTTAGTCCATTGCAAAGATCACAATGAAGTGATCACTTTCAGATGTCTGTTTAAATGTTAGTCTATTGCCTACCTGGCTCACGTTGGTCCTGCCTCAAACAGCTTAAACCTTCTACTACCTTCTATCCTTGTTGGCCTGCAGGCACGTTGGTCCCTCCCTCAGATTATGAAGTAGAGGTGAAATAGTTGAGCTATTTTGAGAAGATGAAAAAGGCCCTCCCTGGTGGTGCAAGGGGTTCAGTGTCAGCACTATGAAGCTAGCTGTGACCACGGCAGGACAAGTTCCATCCCCAGCCAGGAAGGTGACTCACATGGCACACCAGACTTCTCCTGACCCCCGCTGCTCCCCTCAGCAGTGTACTTCTCAATCTGCATGTTCTGCTCCCCACTCTGTCTCTGGGGAATCCTCTCACCCCCCTGTACCTCTGAATTATACCCCAATTCTTGTATGTATAAATATATAAAACTTTAAAAGAAGGAAAAAGTAAAAGAAACTGCAAATACAAAATAAATGCAAACAAATTAATTTACCAAAATATAATCATTAAAGCTTGTGGCTTACATGAGAACTAATGTGGTAGGTGTGGTAGGTGGGTGGTGGGTAGTAATAATTCTATTTGGCAATCCTTTTTTTTTTTAAGATTTATTTATTCATGCATACAAGAACTGGGGTGTAGGCCAGACATGCAGGAGGTAAGAGGATTCACCAGATAGAGGGGAAACAGAAAAGGCAGAGTTACTGAAATACACTGTTAAGAGGAGCAGTGGGTGAAAAAAAAAATTGACGTGGGACTTCTTATCCAGTATTCTGTGTTTACTGAGCTATTTTATTTTTTGAGATTCATGATAGCTTTACTTCTTTTTATTTTTTTAAACTAAGAGTTTTTTTTTTTTTTTTTAAGATTTATTTATTTATGAATACAGAACTGGGATACAGGCCAGAGGTGCAGGGGCGGTGAGAAGATTTACCAGCGACAGAGTGGGGGGCAGAACAGGCCCACTGACCAAGTACACCGCTGAGGGGAGCAGCCCGCGAGTTGGGAGAGGTCTTCGGCTCCAAGTAGATCACCTCCAGGGCAGGCGGGTTCCAACTCATGTGGAAGTGGCTTTAGCTTCTTAGTGCTGTGCTGTAACCCACTGCGCCACCAGGGAGGGCCCTTAACTAAGAGTTTTAATAAAAATTTCTTATGCTGCTTCTTCTCTCTTTGTATTAGATTCTAGTCATATTTTAAAACCTCATTTCCTCAACCAGCCCCTTCTTAAAGTTCTGTTCAGTTAATCCCCTTTCACGAAAACATAATTTTCACTCTGCCTTTCCATGGCACTTTTTCAGTTCAGAACTTAACCATGTGTCTTGTTTGCTAGTGGAAGAGGGTGATCAAGACTCAGCACTATTGCCCTCCCGTTCGGCCCCACTGGTCCTACACCCACATCTCAGAATTCCCAGTGTCTCCCCTTTACACCCATAATTTTATAGAAGTTGCATGATGGAAAACAAATCCAGAGAGATTAAGTGACTTGTCCTGATTTTACAATTAATTATAGACACATGACTTGAACCCACTCTCGACTTCACAGTATTCTGTTTATTTCTGTTTATTGAACTTTTTTTTTTAAGATTTGTGATACTTCAAGTAGCTTTACTCCGTTTTTTTTTTTTAACTAAGAGTTTGCATCAAACAAAAAGACTGATTTAAATGTGAAGACTCACTTCTCACTCCAATAACACATTAAATGTGGGAACCAGTGTGTAAACAGGAAACCTTTTATGAGTCAGATAATTATCTCTTTTTGATTATCAGTCAACACTGGATTTAATCTACACATGTTTATATATTTTTATACACAGACAGTTCAGTACTTTCTCTTCCCAGAATGAAACCCAAATAATCATGATATCAATGTGAAATTTTTGTCTTTCATTTGGGAAAAAAAGAAACTGGGAATTAAAAATACACAGAATATTTCAATATTCCCCAGGAGAGAGAGGAAAAGAGAAATTCTCCCCAGAGGCTCTGTAGTTAGTTCCTCTTTTGGAATTCCTGGATCTCATTTCTCCACTCTAGTCCTCTTGAGAGTAGACAAAAACTTATATAAATTGTATGTTTCAATGTTTGACACCACTCTTTCCAGAATTTCCTTGTCAAGCTTGTAAGGGCTATGGAAGATACTCAATGAATTACAAGTAACTTTTCAGGATAGGGAAGGTACTGGGTGGGCCAATAAAAATCATTGAATATGTTATCTTTTTTAAAAAAAATTACTTATTCTCTTGAAGATAAGGGAACAGTATAAATTAAATTTTATAGCAAACCAGAAATTCTTGCAAATAAGCTACAACAGAGAAGGTAGGTTTTTTTTTTGTTTTGTAACTAGAAAACAATTATGATA